CTTGCGGAGGTCCAATTTCATGAAAAAGGACACCCCCTGCTGACGTTCAAAGGCAGAAGACATCAACGGCAAAGGATGTCTTCACCGTGATGTTGTTCAGCCCTCGATAGTTGATACAGGGATGAAGAGACCAGACTCTCTTTTTCACGAACCCCCCCCCGCAGGCGAAGAAGGGCGAATGATCTTTGATAAGCCTTGCGGAGGTCCAATTTCATGAAAAAGGACACCCCCTGCTGACGTTCAAAGGCAGAAGACATCAACGGCAAAGGATGTCTTCACCGTGATGTTGTTCAGCCCTCGATAGTTGATACAGGGATGAAGAGACCAGACTCTCTTTTTCACGAAAAACCCCCCCGCTCCCGCAGGCGAAGAAGGGCGAATGATCTTGGCTCATAGAGAATCAGAAATATATTTCTCCATGGCCTCCCTCTCCGGGGCGGAAAGCGAATAAAATTTGCCCTTAGGCGGAGACGTACTTGGTAATAAATCTACTGGACAGTCATAGGGATGATGCGGAGGAAGAGAAGCAGCACGAGACTTACGGAACACTCTCTTCAGGTCGAGGTACTCACTGGGCACGTTTGACAGGTCCATATACTCATCCTGAAACACAGAACAGCACACAGAAGAACAGGCAGACAACAAACAAGCAGCATGACAACTCACTCCAAGAGAAAATATAATTCTTACTCCAATTTATGTAAGGGTTATTAAGCACAAGCCAGGGATGCCCAAGGACTACTGGAGTAACAGGTGTGTCAGTTAAAAGAAAATGAATGATCTCAGTGTGATTACCAGAAGTGAGGAGTCTTACTGGACCTGTAGTGTGAGTGATGAAAAGGAAGAGATAGACCATTGAGAGCATGGACAGCAATAGGCTGGGAGAGAGCAACCACAGAGAGTTTAAGTCTGAAAGCAAGATCAGAGTCTAAAAAAAAAATTACCCTCGGCACCAGAGTCAATTAAAGCCTCAGTCATAAGTGTCTGAGGACCACTGCAACTTGACAGGAAGGAGGGTAGCAGCAAGAGCACAAAGAGAGTGATGTGACCCCACACCTACTAACGGGTTCTGGCTTTTACGGGACACTGTGCTGCGATGTGACCAGCAGCTCCGCAATACAGGGAGAGACCCTCAACTCGCCGCCTACGCTTCTCCTCCAGGGAAAGACGGGATCTGCCCATCTGCATGGGTTCCGGTTCGGAGAAGGAAACGTCCGCGTAAGAGGTGGTGACAAAGGTGATTCAGTAGATTGGCCGCCGGAGCTCAGCGTGCTCGCTGATCTCTCTGCTGCAATCTGGTGTCCACCCGAATAGCCAGATCGATTAATCCATCCAGTGTTATAGGTAACTCCAGTGTGTAGCTCTCATCCTTGATATAATCAGAAAGTCCATGTAAAAACATGTCCCACTGCGCTTCAAGATTCCAACGGCACTCCGCCACCAGGGTGCAGAATTCAATGGAGTAATCCGCGACGCTCCGATTTCCCTGCCGTAACTACACCCGAAAACGAGCCGCATCTCTGCCCGAAGCCGCCCTATCAAAAACCTTTTTGATCTCATCTGACAATGACTGAAATGACGTGCAGCAGGGAAGCTTCTGCTCCCAAACGGTAGTTCCCCAGAGAGCCGCCCGTCCAGAGAGCAGAGTTATGACAAACGCTATCTTCGATTCCTCTGTAGGAAACAACAATGGTTGAAGAGAGATATACAGAGAACACTTGGCAAGAAAAAAGGCTCCATTGCTGGGACTCACCAGAGTAAAAAGCTGGAGGCAGAAGGCGGGGTTCAGTGAAACGAGCGGCCTGATCCAGGATAGAATACACAGGTGGATTAGGCACAGTGTGTTGCTGGACGGACTCAGTCTGGAAACGTTGTAGCTGGGTGGTAAGCTCCGAGATCTGAGAGACCAGGGCTTGAACAGCACGATTTGAGGCTGCCATCTGTTCCTCCTGGCAATCCATACGTGAATTACTGTGAGCCAAAAAGTCTTAAATCTGATGCTCTCGCTGGATCCATAATGGTCAGATCGTTCTGTCATGAAACAGTAACACAAGATCCAATTGCAAGTGAAAAGGTAGTATTTATTAGACAACTCCAACTACATCAATAGTAGAAGTGCAGGTAACCCAGCAGTGCAGAGTCTCAGCTCAGGCAGCGAATAATCCGAGCAGTCCAAACCCTCCAGGGAACAGATAACAGATGGGAATCAACTCAGGAACTAGAAGGTCTGACAGAGAAGCAGACAAGACATGAGCAACAACGAGCTGACAACACGCCACAGAAACGCTAGCCAGATATAGGGAGTGCAGACGAGCTACACCTGTGACCGCTCTGATCAGCTCGTCAGGTGCGTGGTAACTAGGCAACACTGACAAGCACAAGGAGCGGATAACACCCACCCACACAGAGACATAAGCTGTGTCTCATTTAGAAGGCTGCACCCTCCGGAGGTCGAATCCTCTGGAGGTCGCATCCTCTGTAGGATGCATATAGGAAGTGTCCTCAACCTAGAATTAAACGAGACGGCCTTTGTAGGACAGGCGGAAAAGGAAACCGGAAGTATCGCGTTGCTATGCCAACACATTTAGAGCATCGTTGCGCTCACACACTACTTAAATGAAGGAAAATTATTTCTAAATTTGGAAAGTAATTTGAAAAAAAAAATGGTTTTACTTGTTTTATTTTGTTCAATGTTTGAGGAGCTGCAGCGTACCTACAGTAGGCATCTATTAGAGAAAAAAAGGAGGAGGATATTAAAAACAAAGTTTATCCGTTTTTACCGAGGCGAATTAAGGTAAGTTGTAAACACCACATCTGCGCTTGTGTGTACGTTACACCTGCCGGCGCCGGCATTTTTCAAATTAACAACGGTTGTTCACGGCGACGCAAAGAATTGTGGGTTATCTGTAGCAGCGAAGGATACACCTCATGCATCCTCCAAATTCCTGTGAAAGAAGGTCGCATTCGAAGGTCGCCTTCGGAGTGTCCTACTTGCTTTTCTGAAACGAGACAGCCTCGATGACGTATGCAGCCTTCGAATGCGACCTCCGGAGGACGCAGCCTTCTAAATGAGACACAGCTATAGAAATGAGCACACAGACCCATGAACCGTGACAACCTGATATTTTTTATTAGTTTGACAGGGAAAGCTGTGCGCAAACAGAAACACACACACACACACACGCGCGCACATATAGCTATACATATATTCATTTATCAAAAAAAGGCACTTTCTCTCGAGGAAGAAAAAGGGCAGGTACTCAAGGCCCGTTTTATCTATGTGTGTTTATCTCTGTTTACTCCAGTTATTTAATAAACTCACCCAGTGCCACTTGGTCTACAGTGAATGTACCATAACCTCTATAGAATGTGTGACTGAGGTGTCATGGGTCTTGACACCTCTATACTAATTACTGAAACCTCAGCTTTGGTGTTGCTGTCATACTTTAATGTTCAAAGAGAGTTACAAACAAGAAGTTCAAGGATACGTGAGCATTTGGACCTCACTGAAGTTTTACCTGTCCTTCAGTGCAACAGCATTGGTGTGTTTGTCATAACTATAAACTGAAACAAAAAGAACCGTCAGAGTCAGAGAGAGCTTGCGCTGTCAGACGTTCTCAACAGGTAAGCACAAAAGCTCAAATATCTTGTCTTTGAGACTAGAATTCACTAGTGGGAGGATTTTACAGTGTTCATCCTACAGCGTCATTACATTAAGTATACAGACCAAGAAATACTAAATAATAAATAAATATGCGAAACACTAACTGATCTAACTGACATGAATACCAAAGTTGTAGCATGAAATAACATTCATTAACTGGTGTACTTGTGCTAATATGTCATGGAGCTGTTGCAAACTTTAACTTATTTAATCTCAAAAAGCAAAATAGCATTTTAAAATGTTATTAAAATTGTGGAGAAGTAGATATTGAAAATATTTCAATGCTTTCAAGTCGATAGAGATTAATAGGAGTGTTATTTTTCTATCGTTGATAGACTATTGTAGTTTTGGTTAATATTTTGAATGTATATTTTCTTATTTTGTTTAATTGTAGTTAAAGTATTAGTCAATTAGTTTTTGTCATTTTCAGTAGCTTTTTATATGTCTGCATAGTTTTATTTATTTATTACATTTTAGTTTTTAGTTGTAGTGTATTTAGTTGTAGTTAATTTAGTACTTCAACTTGAAATTAACAAAAATTTAAAATGTTGCTGAAATACAAAAAGTTAACATTTTTTTCTTCTCCATGTAATGATATATATACTTTTTCATTTTAGGTTTAGTTAATGTTAATAACCTGGATTAATAGTTATGGGAACCAGTTATAGTTTGATTTCACATGAGATGTGTTTGATTGTGGAACATTTTATCCGGTATAATATTTAATATTTATTTTATTTACTAATTATAGCATGTATTAATAATAATTATCTGAAAGTAGTCATAATTATTAGAAACATAACTATTACTAATATTAATATTACATAAATGTGTCTTGAATTCTGTTGTCTGTGTAAAATAAATATTAGTTTCATCTGTTTTTAAGTCTGTATACCAACCAACCAAGCAGATCAAACTTTAGTCATTAATGAACAAATATTATGGTATATTTTATGACACTAAGTTTGTATGTTTTACTCAGTAAATTAGTTTACATTAGTAACATTAAGCGCTTAGTTGTGCTTAATGTTTGTTCCACCAGAGATATTCAATTTATTTTATTCTTTTGATATAACAAAGAATAAAAAAATACAGTATACATCATACATGACTATATTTTTATATTAAGCATTCATGGAGAAACACAATATATGTGATAGTTTCAGGGATTTTGATCAGCTAAAAATTTGATCAAATTCGATGAAATATGGTGCTGTGGGTTTATGGGTATTGTGGGATACCTACACTATAAAGTCGCATGCAAAACTTTTGTAAAACAAAAGTTTTGTGCAAACAGTTTTTCTTCTCAATGGCTCCTACCATCCAGTGAGACCAGATGACACTGAAGGTCGAAGGTGATCCGGGCTATGGCAGAGCATCTGCTGGAGGTCGATTCACTGATCTGGACAGCTCAGAGACCGTACCTCTCCTTATCCCAGACATTGAGCAACACCAGCACATCTGGAAGCCCCTGACCAGAGAAGAGCTGGAGAAGTGCGCAGGAGGACCAGAATGGAAGAAGTTTCGTTCTCGTCTTGTGCTTTGCTTCTGGATTGCTTGGCTGATAATCCTGGGCACTGCAATCACAATAATCATTCAGAGCCCACGGATGGAGTCTCCTTCACTGCACTGGTGGCAGAGGGATGTGTTTTACCGCCTGCATCCTACACTCTTCATGGATGCAGACAGTGGCAACGTCAGCCATATCAGCAGTAAGTTAATAAAAATATCATTTACAGCAGTAAAAATTGGCGGTAGATGGCATCTACTGCTGTCAAAACATTCAAACCGTTTATCCATCCATCATGGAGCCTAAAATTACTCCCACATGTCAAAGTCTATTGGGTTTTCGAGAAATCACATCACAAGAACATTTAACACAGTTGTGACAATGTGTACACTCATAAAAACAAAGGCCTCTTCGGTTCAATTAAGATCTTATAACATCTATTAAATCTTTCAATTGGAGAAAAGGTTCATTCTAGTAGAAAATCATTATTTAGATGATTTAATTGTTCTTAAAATGTTCTTCACACTAAGGAAAAAATTAGTCTTTTAAGAACTGGTTTCTAAAGAACAGTTTTCTTTTGGGGAAACAAAAATGGTTCATACAGTGGCATTGTTGCAAAAAACTTCTTTTGGAAACCTTTATGTTTGAGAGTGTAGTATACACTTAATCAGAAAATAAATATGTTCACAGGAAAATGTGCCATTTGTATGAGAAAATTTCAGGATTTAAAAAAATATTATTATTATTATTTAATTATTCATAAATAATAAATCACATTTTGTTTTAATTTATCATCATCCTTTCAAATTAAATAGAGAAATACAATTTCAGATGTTATAGGGTTGAATTGCAAAAAAATTAAAATAAAATAAAAATTTGTAAAGCGGCAGCTGGCAAATATCAATGCCTTAACACCACATTATTCACTTGTATGTTTAATTATTCATAAATAATAAATCACATTTTGTTTTAATTTATCATCATCCTTTCAAATTAAATAGAGAAATACAATTTCAGATGTTATAGGGTTGAATTGCAAAAAAATTTAAATAAAATAAAAATTTGTAAAGCGGCAGCTGGCAAATATCAATGCCTTAACACCACATTATTCACTTGTATGTAAAAAAAATAAATAAATAAATATATATATATATATATACAGTGTGTGTGTAAAAAAAATAAATAAATAAATAAATATATATATATATATATATACACAGTGTTTCATGGTGCAGTGATTGAGTGCGAGCAGCACAGAATGGACTGTACAGTCGGCCTAATACTAGTAAACAGCAATACAATTCCAGTAGTAAAGACCAGCATGATGGTGTATGTTTTTCGCATTCAGGGATGTCCGAGCGGCTGCCGTATCTGAAATCGCTGGGGGTCGGGGCAGTGATTCTGGAGGGGTTATTCCGGCATGACATCTCTCCTACCAACCTGACAGAGATTGACCAAAGTCTGGGCACACTTCCACAATTCACACGGCTTATCACAGAAAGCCGCAAAGCGGGTATGTATATTTTCATTATTAAGAAATACACTTGATTTTATGTTGGTAGTTTTACTGGCATTCACCCTTTTATAAAAGTGAAAAGTTTTAAACTATTTGATCTGCATGTGGATCGGGATTGTGGTACCTTTGGCATTCACTAGATGGTGCTGTTAGGTCACATCAGTCTTCTCTTGTCTCATACACTGGTCTCAAAGTATTTGGACACTTAAGCCATGTCTGAAAATCATTGTATTAAAATAACAAAGATATCAAAGTGGCATGTGCAAACAAATTATGCACATTTTTTTTGTAGCCTATAATAACTAATTACTTTTAACCAACTGGCCTCAAGGTGATTTATAGTGGATATATGAAGACAGTTCACACAGTTGTCCTCATGTATAGCGTAAGTATGGACATGTTTCACATTCACAAGCACAAAGTGTCTAAATGTCTTTTATATCTTTTGTGAAATGTTTTTGGGCTACTGTAAATCCCTTTGTGCTTGTTAAACAATTGTGAAAACAAACACATTTTTGCACTTAAAAATATTAAGCAACATTAGGCTATGTTGGTTGTAATAAAGCAATATTAACTGATCCATTGGATTTGTATATGGTTCAGGTGTGAGAGTGATGCTGGACCTTTGTGAGCTGGATCTGTTTGAGCAGGAGTCGGGTAATGACACTGATGTTAGGTCAGGTCCATCAGAGTACATTCAAGTAAGGAACATTGCATATATACTGGATATATATATAATGCAAGATATCAGCAAGAGTGTGTATTTTTTTTTCAACATAGACTGATTGGAAATTTCTCTCCAAAAATGTACCTATACATACAGTTCACTGAAGCAGTCCAGCTGAAATAAACACTAGAGGTAGTAAAACAGCCAACAATTTTATTCCTTTTCACTAAAATTCTAATTATGAGGCAGGTAATTTAAAAAAAACTATTTTTTGTAACTACTTGCACAATACTTATGACCTCAAACAATTTTACCACAGTGCATGGTTTCTAAACTAACACATTTAAACGTTTGCATCACACAACCAGCTCTATCTGGCTTTTCTGATGTAGTAAACTTGCTGGGTAGCTCACCTGGTGCAATGCAGAGCACTTGGCTACGAGTCCCATGAAACACAAGTCACGAAAAAGCTCAAAGACTTGTAGAAGCAAGCTAAAATGGCATGGTTGCGTCAGTGTTTTTATCTCATGCTTGCTTTTTTGTTAACACTATCAGTTAAGTTTCGAGTATGGGTTTAATGTAGGTGGTATGTTATTTTCAAATGTGATGAATAACAATTTTTTTTATCGTGACAACTCTAAATGTCACTAGATGAACGAAAGTTGTTCTGCCTACTTTTTGTTTATTATTGCTCATGTGGTATGATTTTCCTCTCCAGTACTCATTAAGGTATTGGCTGGAGCATGGTGTATCAGGGTTTGGGATCTGTGATACAGACGCAGCCTTCTCTGCAAAGGTAAAGCTGCCTGAAAACACACTGACGTGTCTTTTTTTGTGGAAAAAGTGTGTGGGTTTTTCTTGGAGACAAGATGTGGTGAGCCCATGCCCAGTGTCTGTTTTAAAATTGATGTGTTTTTATGCTTCACAGACCCTAATGGAGTGGAATGTGCTGATACAAGAGTTCAGTTCACAAGATGATGAAAGGTATCACGTTTGTCAGCTGAACTCATACTGGTGTAGCAAATTAAAAAAAAAGTGAAATGTATATAAATATTTGCAGTTAATTATAATTAATGACAATTATTTATATCAGCTGCCAGTAGTAACTGTAGCAGAATGAATATGACCATCAACTAATCTGTTAATCTAGCGAGCATTCAGTGTAATTTCATATAAACTCTAACAAAGGATATTTTCGTGGCCATAGAAAATAACTTTCTTACAGTACTAGTGCATTAGAGCATGTAACAAGATCAGGAATCGTTAAAGTGACATTATCCACAAGCAGTGACAGAATTAGAAACTCATTTAATTTGTGCACAAAAGTTTTATTAAAGGGGTCATATGATGTTGCTAAAAAGAACATTGTTGTGTATTTGGTGTAATGCAATGCGTTTATGCGGTTTAAGGTTTAAAAAACACATTATTTTCCACATAATGTACATTATTGTTGCTCCTCTATGCCCCGCCTTTCTGAAACGCATTGATTTTTGCAAAGCTCATCGTTCTGAAAAGCAAGGTGTACGCTGATTGGCCAGCTATCCAGTGCGTTGTGATTGGCTGAATACCTCAAGCGTGTGGACATTTGTTGCATCCAGTGGGGACATAATTACTGATTATAATGACTTATACTGTGTTTTTACACATTGCGTATCGTGCCACGTAAACATAAAACCATGTTTGCATTTGTGATCGGAGAAACGACAAACAACAAGCGCTACTCGCGTTTGAATCATCCGTGGCAAATTCTTTAAATATAAAAAATGTACTTACACTTACAGTGAGTCAGAAGCGCCAGACTGTCCTTGCAAAGTTGGAACTGCCCCACTTTATAGAACAGCCTTTGAGCACAGACCCATTGTAGGCTACTCTGCAGGTTCAGGAAACAGTCTTCCATAAAATGCGTCACACAGCGTCACACGGCGGGCTTGAGTGAGCGGAGGCCGGCGGCCTTGACAATGGCGCGGCCGGCGGATTCGACGAAGGAGCGGCCGGCAGGTGTGCGGCAAACACATGTGACGACCCCGGGCTGGACTCCGCTTCGTCCACGGTGAAAGCTGATCCGGCGATCCACAGCGCGAACTTGATGCATTTCCTCAGCAACCAGCATGGATCAGCTCCAGGCATGACGAAGCAGATATCGTCCTCTATTGGAAGGCCAAACAAAGTAGTTTCGCTTTCACAACTAAACACACAGCATCTCCACAACATGGCGCCGGCGGCAACAACAATACTACAGCGAGAATAAAAGTTACGCCTTCTTTCTTTGCGTGAACATTTGGGCGGTGTTACGCAAATCTTCCCACACAGTGACATAGACATGTGGGGGCGTGTTTAAATGAGCCGTTTTAGGAGGGCGTGGACAAGTCTTAACTTTTACAAAGAATATCTCTTTGGATTTGAGACTTTAGTATTTGCAACTTTACAGATCTTCTTTATGCATCAAGAGCTTGTAACACTCCAAAGAGAAAGGAAAAATTTTAATTGCATCAATCATATGACCCTTTTAACTAAACACTGACACAAACTAGTCTAACAAACATACACAAACACTCACACATACATATACATACACATGGGAGTTAAAGTGGATGACTAAAACCAGAGAATGCAGCTATGGAAAATGGAGTCAGTTAAGCAACTTTACAGCCAATTAAGTTTCTACAATATTTAGTGGTAGCTTATCAGTGGTGACTGTCAGTTAATGTACATATGGCAGAAATGTACGGAAAAATCAATTAAAGATGTAATCAAACAGACGATGAACACTATCTACTAAACAGAGAGAGTGTGTCTGAACACCGAACATTATCAGGAATGCTATTCCAAATTTAGGGAGCCAAATGGGAAAAAGCTCTACCTCCTTTAGTGGACTTTGCTATCATAGATACTACCAAAAGTCCAGAGTTTTGCAACCTTAGGGAGCGTGATGGATTGTAGCGTGGTAGAAGACTAGTTAGGCAAGCAGGAGCTAACCCATTAAGGGCCTTATAGG